CAGAGCGGCTGTGGGCTCATTTCCTGCACAGCCTCGGGCGTGGTCTGCATGCAGGCTCCTCTCCCGGGAGCAGCCTGGCTCCTGGGGGAGCCGCTTTCCTCCTCCCGCTGGGCCCCCTCCTCCTGGCTGACCAGCTCTCCATAGGCCCGTTCCTCTCTATTGTCCTTTCAACTGCTAAGTGCGATTGGTCACCAACCATCTTCCCTGTCGTCTTGTGATACAAGAGAACAGACATCTCTCTGCTCCTGTTTCTCTTCCTGGCACAGAGCTCCTAACCTTTGGAAGTGCCTGTGGTTGGAGCGCCCTTGCTTATACATGAGGAGTCCCTCCCCACCACACCTGGGCGGATGCTAATGAGGGGCCAGGGGGCCCTGGGATAGTCTCCCAGCCGAGCGGGCTGGCCACACCAGGAAGAAGCGCATGGCTAGAGGGTGGGAACTTTTTCAGGCCCATCCCCAACCTGCAGGGAGGGGAGACAGGCTAAGGCCCCAAGAAAGCTCTGGCCACTGAAGCTTCAGCGGGTGGTGAGCACGTGATGTTCTGCGGGGGCGACAGGCCCAGATGCCACGGGAAAGGGCCTGAACTCTCTCTGCCCCTCTCCCCAGACCTGGAACTATGCACCTCTCCCACTAGACTGCTCCCGACCCCATCCTCACGGTAAAGCTGTGAGCGTGGTGCTTTCTGTGAGTCCTGCGAGCCCTGCTAGCGGGTTAGTGAACGAGGGGTCACGGGAACTCCCGCATGGAGAGCTGGCTGGTTGCCGGTGCAGGTGAGCCTGGGGCTGGCTGGCTGGCACCGCAGACGGGCAGGCTGTGAGCGACTGTCCTTGACGTGTGGGGTCTGCACACCGGCAGGTGCTCAGTGCCGACTGAATAGAATTAGGGCCCTGGTTGGCATCGGGGATTGCTGTTGGTGCCCCAGCAACCCCCGAGGGCTCTCAGAATCCATCTGTCCCCAGAAGTCAGGAAGTCCCGTTCTTGCTTAAATCCTTCTCCCCAAACCTTCACATGCTCCCATGAGGACCTTCATGCAGAGGCCTCCCTGTACCCAGGCTAAGCCTCACCCGAGGCCTCTCACGGGGCAGCCCCAAGGCCATGCTGCTGGGCACCAGCTCCCTCCGGGGTTGCAGACACCACGGTCTCTCCTGGCGTGCTCCTTGGCTCTGCAGGTCGCGAATGTTAAGTTCTTTGGCTTCCCTCTCGCTGCTCTAATATCTTCCCACCACGCCCCTCGCTGAGAGGCCTCCCTGAACTCAGGTGCCTGCGAGGGTCCCACCTCCTTCCCTTCGAGGAGCTTCCCGATGCGGCGTGTGTGTGAGTGGACGTGGCCCTCGCTTACTGCAGTCCCCACGGGTCAGTCGTGCAACATCATACAGTCCGGCTGCACTGCACTCACTCCACAGTCCAGCCGCGGCTGGTCCCCGGACAGTTGGCCCTTTACGTGCTTCACCCTCTCTCCGCCTCAAGTCCAAGCCCCAGACCAGCCCCTGATCTGTTGTCTGCCTCTATGAGTTTCTTTATTTGTTTGTTTATTTTTGGTTTTCTTTTTAAAAATATACCACGTATGAGTGAGATCATATGATATTTGCTTTAGCTTTTCTTTTTTTTAATTTATCTTTATTGTTGAAAGTATTGTAGATTTCCCTTTGATTGTTTTTAGCCATTGACCCTCTCTACCCCACACCTGCCCTGCCCAGGCCTTCACCACTCTATTGTCTGTGTCCATGGGCTATGCATACCTGTATATATAAAAGGCTAAGTGACCATCCATCCAACCAGTAGCTATGACACACACTGAACACCAGGGGGCAGATGCTCCACGCAGGAGCTGCCATGACGCGCACTGCCCATTTTTTATATAAAAACCCTGCGTGTAACATCACAACTGAGGCTCGACCAACCTGAAGGAAGTCAGTCCTGCAGGGGTCGTCTTGGAAACGGCTGCACCCTCTCCAAGCTGTTTCCCGCGAGGGCGGCGAGGTTTGAGGCAGGAAACCGCCCTCAGTGCATGGCCGCACTGAGTCCTGGGTCCTCTTAGCAACAGCTGCGCTCTCCCTGAACTGTTTCTGGTAAGGGCAAGGTTTGAGGCAGGAACCGGCCCTCGGAGCATGGAGGCATATCTTTATAAAGTTTTAATACGTTATATTAGAGGTCGTGGTAGTACTGTTTTACCCACAGCATCTACAGGAATTGCTGCAAATTTACTTCTCGGTGGAAGCACCTTTCATTCCCAATATAAATTACCCATTCCACTAAACAAAACTTCAATTTCTAGACTCGATATAAACAGTGAAGTTGCTAAAACTATTAAAAAGGCCCAACTTCTCATTATTGATGAATGCACCATGGCATCCAGTCATGCTATAAACTCCATAGACAGATTACTAAGAGAAATTTGAATGTTGTATTTGGTGGGAAAGTTCTCCTTCTTGGAGGGGATTTTCGACAATGTCTCAGGATTGTAATGCATGCTATGTGATTGGCCATAGTACAAACGAGTTTAAAGTACTGCAGTATTTGGGGATGTTTCAGAAAGTTGTCTCTTACAACAAATATGAGATCAGAGGATTCTGCTTATAGTGGATAGTTAGTAAAACTTGGAGATGACAAACTTTATAGCAGTTTTCATTTAGGAATGGATATTATTGAAATCCCCTTTGAAATGATTTGTAATAGATCTATTATTGAAGCTACCTTTGGAAATACTATATCTATAGATAATATTAAAAATGCATCTAAATGTGCAATTCTCTGTCCAAAAAATTAGTACATTCAAAAAGCAAATGAAGAAATTTTGGATATACACAATGGAGATTTTCACAAATATGTGAGTGATGATTCCATTGATTCCACAGATGATGCTGAAAAGGAAAATTTTCCCATCAAATTTCTTAACAGTATTACTCCTTTGGGAATGCCATCTCATAAATTAAAATTGAAAGTGGGTGTAATCATCATGCTATTAAGAAATCTCAATAGTAAATGGGGTCTTTGTAATGGTACCGCGCATGCACGAGTACCAGACTTATTATCAAAAGATTACGACCTAACATTATCAAAGCTGAAGTATTAACAGGATCTGCAGAGGAAGAGGCTGTTCTGATTCCAAGAATTGATTTGTCCCCATCTGACCCTGGCCTCCCATTTAAATTGATTCAACGATAGTTTCCCGTGATGTCAGCATTTGTGATGACTATTAATAAATCACAAGGACAAA